TGAGATGCGACTGAAGCCGAGGGTCGCATGATTAGCAAGGAGTTTGATTATATTGTTTTGAATTTAAAAGATAAACGTTCCATATTCTGTCGTATCAATTTATGAATGGTTTGACTGTTTTCCAACCTTTCAATGTTGGTTCTGTAATGAAATACAGAACCACAACTTTTCATTAATTAAAGTGAACTTAAAGTGAACGGTGGAAAGAATACTTTGAAATATAAATGAATGAAGAAAATTATTGGAGCGGAATGTTTGAAAATACACCGGAAAATATGGTGACGGTGCGATAGATTAATGAGTATAGTGAAAGTGATGCAAGGTTTAAAGAAAGGAACGGCCGTAGGGCCGGATGATATACCTGTTGAAGCATGGAAGTGTTTAAATGCTGAGGAATTAAAGTGGCTTGATGATCCCAAATGAATAGTGCAGCATCTTGTTGGGGCCCATCTATAACAAGGGCGATGTACAGGACTAAAATAGTCACAGTGAAATAAAGCTTATGTCACATAGTATGAAGATTTGGGGCAAGATAATAGAATAACAACTGAGAGAGACGAGTGACATGGACAACGGACTCCATATTTACACTCCGTCAGTTTAGCGAAAAATACATATACGCATATAGACCTTCATATTCTGTTTTTTGATCTAGAGAAGGTACACTGGTTGCAATGTTGCAAAAGTTGAAATGGATGCGAAACTCATAAAGGATAAAATTCGGTAGGATGAAAGTCATGTGACTAGAAGAGTGTTTATGAATGTGGTTTGGCGGTGAAATGAACAAACCAAATTAATCTCTGCAAATGATAAAACGATGATACAAGTTAAAGAATGATTATTTTTTAATAAAAACAGAAAAATCAAGCGAACAGAAAGAAATAGGTAATAGAACAGACCACGTCAAAAGCAAAAAAGTAAAAAACTACATCAGCTATCAAAATAGTAAAGAGGTCCGCAACATCCTCCCCCTCGTGCAGCCAAGCACAAACTGGTTATGCAAACCAAGGTCAGTCAAGGCCTTAGGTGGAGAGTCTAACCAGCTTTCGCACGGGTCGGCGTAGCATTCCCCCTGCTGTTTCAACGTCCACTACCCTTATCACGCCATCTTTTCCAGGGTACAACTTCGCAACACGTCCTCGTGGCCATGTTCCGCGGGGCAAGTTGAAGTCAGCAATAATTACTACGTCACCCTCTTGAAGAGCTGTTGAACTGCGGTTGCCTCTTGACTGCTCACGTGGTTGTAGGGTTGGGAGAACCTCGCGCATCCAACGCGACCAAAAATGATCCGCTAGCCTCAATGCTTTCCAGGACCAAAATGAAATGAACAAACCAAATTAATCTCTGCAAATGATAAAACGATGATACAAGTTAAAGAATGATTATTTTTTAATAAAAACAGAAAAATCAAGCAAACAGAAAGAAATAGGTAATAGAACAGACCACGTCAAAAGCAAAAAAGTAAAAAACTACATCAGCTATCAAAATAGCAAAGAGGTCCGCAACAGGCGGTATACAGCTAAAGAAAGACCGAGAAAGATTTGGATGGACTGAGTGAAGATGTAAGTATTAGGATTACGGCTGATAGAGGAAAGTGGAATGAAAGGACATGTCGTGCCAATCCCACCTAGTGTAGGATAGAGGCAGGAGAAAGAAGAATATTTTATTAATTAAAAAATATTTTAAACATAAATTGCGAATAATTGATTAAGAATAAAACATTAATTAGTGTTTGAGCTTATTAAGATGAAAAAATATTAAACTATGTCAGCTGTTGGTTGTCTATCCGCGCATTTAGACTTTTTAAAAGAATTGAGGAGAAACGCTCCTTCCATTGAGGTCTTAATACCAACACTCTCTGTAGAAAGCCTGTAATACTTGGTCTGTGACTTCTAATGAGTTAGGGCCATGGGCACAGCTTCTGTCGTGGCACGTGGTTATCTTCTTAGCTACATGTCTATATATCTCAAACCATTAATTGGTAAAAACTGTAATATGTGCATAAGTAAGTCCCTTACGTAAGTTTACAACTCACTAAGGTAATAAACGTGACTTTTATCAAAGTACATTTCCTTTGTTTTGTTCGGGTTACGTTCCTACGGTTTTTCGAAAAAGTCACCACCGCGATTTATTGATGCCTATTTGTGCTTAATGTGATAAAGAGCTGAGTAGTGTGATTGGTGTCGAAAGAAAATTGGAATCGCGAAAGTATTAATATAAAGCGTAGTAATATATTTAACAATAACGTTCGGTGTTTCGAAATGGTCCAGTCGTTTGTTTATTAACGTTCACTTTTTAGCAATTGTGCGACGATTTTGACAGTGTTACTGTCCGCCACTAATTAAATTTATACCGTCTGAACGGAGCTCGGTTACAAAGCTGTTATGCAATACGCAGTGGTCCACGGCGAAGTAATTAGTACAGCAATGTAATTCTTACTCACTATACATATGTTATATTTTCCATGTTCGTAACAGCCTAAATATCTCTCAATGCTTTGCAACGATCTCTATATACAGGGCATGTAGTTCTCTCTGTAGGTATGTAGGGTCCAACGCTCGATCTTTCAAATATCTTTTGCCTAATGTGTTATTTTAACCGGATTCTACTGTTTACTGAAATTATGATAATGATAAATTTAAGAAACATAGATATATACAACTTTTTTATTGTCTTTGCGAAATTATTTTGTAATCATATTATTGCAACAACATATAAAGTAAAATAACAGCCTATTTATGTATGTCCCACTGCGGGGCAACCTCCTCTGTACATGTAAGGGACTATGCGATTCCGCTGTGGATGTGCAGATTTCAGTTTTTTTCAAAGTATTTGTTTTTGTTATTATTTCGTGAGTTCGTTTGGTTTCCTCACGATGTTCTCCTTCCTGCACTTGATAAATCATAATTAAAAATTGGAATTCTATGGTGCCAGCTCGCTATTGCATTAAAAGTTAGCGCCTGGACTCATCGTATTTGATGATTTCATGGCAACTGTCACATTAGGAAACAATACTCTTCCGGTTCAATCCAAAAATCATCCTCTTACATATAATAAAGTACAGATACTGTATTTTTTTCATTATTATAATAATTATATTGTGTACACTTCGCATGCTAGACAAAGCGAGTTATGACTATTTAAACATGTTTTTTTAAATAAAAGACTGAAAAAAGTTTAATATATAAAAAATTAATAAAGCGAATTATTTACTTTTTTTTAAACTAAATGTACATCATAATCAGATGTGAATGGGAGTAGACGTTATTAAGAGTATATTTGGAACAACAGATTTTTACAATGAGGAAGATCGTACAAGATAAAGAAGATTTAAAAGTAAAAAAGCAACAAAATACCTAAATCTGTTTTTGAAAATGCTCTGTGACACAATGGCATTTATTATTTCAATAGACATCAATACGAGTATGTACAAGTGTACCGTAAACGTCTGTAGGTCAAATGGAATACGTTTATAGCGTAAATACCTATTACGTAGCACTAGCCACAGATACGCTGTTCGTTAACCCCTAACAAAGCAAGAGGTCAGCGCGGTTCATGCCAGGAGCGAAGAAGTGCACCGCACCTCCTTTTAGTTACTTATTAATAGGCTTTTATGGAGTACAGGCAGGAGTACAGGCTTACTAAGACTGCTAAGTGCGTAGTAGCTTAAGGGCGTTTTCGCGGGTGGTTTTGGGGGGCAAGGGCCAGGTCAGTGGGTCGCGCGCGCAGCCTCCCAAGCTCTCTGGGAGACGCGCCTGTATCGACCGAGTTGCGTCTCGCGGTAGGGTTGTCCAAAATTTGAAATTTACAAACATTTTCAACTCTAAAGAGTAACGGCCTTACTTAAAAGTAACGGCCAGAAATGTTGTCTGCTTTTAGATAAAATAGTATTTCTCCCAAATGATCACTCAACGTATACGATACTAATGAAAGATTTTACGATTCATTTTAATTTTAAATCGGAACTAAATTTATCAGTTATGTCGTTTATTATAATTGTAAAACAGCAAAGTACCAAACGATCATTTCGAACCACATCCATGTGTATTGATTTTTGTGCATTCGCACTCATGTGGCTCTAATTGAGTGCCCTCTCGGAGCGTCGCGTCATGTGCACGACTTCAACACCCGTTCATTTTCGTCGGCCATTACGCACGGCTGTTTCGTCGACATCAAAGGCTTAATTCCGCCAAGCAACCCCTCGCGCCGTCACGAGTGCGATTTATGCGGAATAGGGTGTTTTCGGGAGGGTCGGTGCTACCCCTGATTTCCGCGTGCCCACTGCGCAGCATCCGTCACTGCGCAACTCGCGGCGCTCTCGAGTCGGGGGCACGGTCTCGACGCCGCCACTCCTCACTTCCGGAGCGGTATTACCTTGAAAGTGTCCTTGCTGACCCGCCCTGAGTGAGCCATTACCCGCTTGACCCCGCTATGTTCCCGTGAGCCCTTACCCTTGAAGAATCCAGTGCAGTGCTAGTGATGGGGAAGGACAAGCACCCGACGGAGGCCGAGGTTAAGGTGGCCACGGTGGAACTGGAGGCCGTGGACAACATGGCCACCCTACCAGTGGGCCAGCACCGGCAGCAGGGCAGCGACATCGCGATCGCCGAAAGGCATAACACAACCAACAAAGAGATGGAGCTGAAGTGCGTCCAACCGAAGCCATCTAAGAAGTACGCCCGACTGAAATAATCGAATTGAATATATTTCTGATGTGGTGTGAAAGCAGTGAACATAATGTTTGATTGTTATTTTTACATAAAACAACCGCATATTACAAACTTCTGCAAACTTATCTATGTATTAATTAATGTTTTATAAGCAACGAATAAACTGATACACTAGTACTGTAACCGAATTTCCTTTATTTAAAGATCTGATCGCGATGAAATAAATAAATTTATAGAAAAAAAATGTTATATCTAGAAAAAAAAAATTGATTGAAAAAATATTTAAATTATTTATGCTCGAGATTTTAATTTTTTTTAATATTGTTTCAGAACATCATTATTCATCATCTCAAGTTTCATATACGCCAAACTTCTGGTAGTGGTTTGCATCGCCTACGTCATCAGCGATGTTATCACCCACAACCTGCCACTATATTACTACGAGGGATTCTTCACCTACTTGTATGGCATGAGCATTCTGTTCCTGCTGTACGTCTTCTGTTTCCTGCTTCAGGGTGCGTATCGTTATTTGTCTATAAGTCGGATTAAAACGATGTTTTAAAGCCTTTTATTTAAAAATAACACATTGTAGAACACATTGTAAAAATAACACTCTTGTTTAGAAAGTACATGCTGCAACGGCAGTCCACCAAAGCCGAAGCCACCGCCAAAAGAGAAGAAACCCAAGAAAGAGAAAGAAAAGAAAACCAAAGACAAAGAAGGAAAAGACAAGGATGGTAAGGACGGTAAAAAAGACGGCAAGAAAGAGGGTAAATCTAAAGATAAGGACAAAGATGGTGGAAAAGATAAAGCAACCAAAGAAAGCAAGAAACAGAGCCAATTCCAGGTCAGTACAGTTTATTCTTCCGTTCTAATGCCTTATCACCAGCACATCCAATTTTTTCGTTTTTAACCATATTATGTGAACCATTTTCGCTTCCCATCTCTGCAATGTTGTGTTAGATAACCTTAAGACAAGAAATTACATGAGTTTAGCATTTTTATGTTGTTCAGCTTAAAGACAAGTCATAATTATTAGCGCTTCGTGAGGACGTGACTGGCCGCATGCCCCCTTTTCTGTTTACGCTGGCTACTTTTTGTTTTTCCATATTATTTGGGCAGGAGGTGTATCCACGTAAGATGCGCGATAAAGTTCGACAACAACAATTGCAAATCCAAAAGGCTCAATTGTATGCGTCCGAACAGGTGAGGCATATTGTGAAATGACGCATCCTGCTTGAAATATTTATCATACCATTACGAGCTTTGGATGTGCTGTTTTATTCCATTTAGTTGCCGATCCTTGTGCTTTCGTTTAAAACGCTCTTATGTGTATTCCCCTTGCTTATTCAAACTGTGAGTGAACCAAGCTTCAGTAGTTGAACCAGTTTTCCGTGCGTCCGAAATATAACCAAATTACCTTCCTTTACATTACAAATAGACTGACTAATTTTGCTACAATTGTTGAAGGAATATTTTAAAACGAACACAAAAAGTCATTGACAGTAATTAGGCAGTGTCTAACTAATTACAGTCATTTAAATATATATTTTTTTTTCGTTTGCGTGTTCAGTGTTCCGTGAATGTTTTGCTCAGATTGTTTTTATTTCATGTAGCAACAAGATGTAGTGGAGTTAGAGGCGGGTCCTGTAGCACGTCCGATGCGTCGGCGAAAGACATCACAGAATGATCACAGCCATGGAAGTTTCTTCTTGCGAATTGGCGCAATCGGTAATATATCATATTTGGTTTCAAATTGATTATTTAGAATTAGTCATTATCGTGAGAATTATTATTAAAATAACATTTAAACATAACATCATTATTTAGTATTGTGGAATACATATAAATATGTCTGCTTCATAACGACCTCGAAGACGATGACTCGGTGGCGTCGTTTCTAAGCTCTTGGCTGTGGCGTTGGGTGTCGTTTGTTCGATTCCCATATGAAACAAGTATTTGTGTGATCCACAGATAATTGTTTCGGATCTGAGTGTTTCGTTTTTGAGAAACGGAGAGTTGATGTCAAGAAGGCGGGCGGTTGTAAAAAAACTTAGCCAAAGCCACTTACAACATAATTTACATGTCGTGCCGAACCCACCTAGTTGGGATAAGGATAGGAGGATGATGATGAAGATAATGTTGAGCGACCTGATCTTTAATAAGAAAGAAAAAGCTATTACTTTAATAATCCCGGTTTTGACCCGTGATAGCTAAAACAGATTTGAATACCGAGCCGTCTCTTTTAATTGCCTACTTATTTAATAGAGGACTAAGAATTATCATGGTAAACTGATAAAATATTTAACATAGTCTAAGGTTGACTGGTAGACAATGCCTTTGGCATTAAGTCCGTTAAGTGTACTAGATTAAGTGTACTAGATTGTGCATAAAGTGTAAATAAATAAAAATAAATAATAGTGTTTCTTCTAATTAATAGGTCCCTTATATGTTAACTTGTCATTGCCAAAGAACAGTTTTTATAAGATCTTATTAGTAAAGTAAAAGAAAGTAAAGTAACAGCCTATATTAGGGAAAAGTCCACTGACGCGACTTCACTGCGGATTGGCGGACTTCACATAGATTCGATATTTTTTTATTATTACATATTTTGAAAATATGTCGGTTTTCCCTGGACGCTTTCCTTCACTAATGAACACGTGACTAATCAGCACTTAAAATTAACAATTTCACCGGTGCCGGCTTGAGCATATTGATTTAAAAGCGAAAGCCCGGACAATTAGCTATCACGGTTATTTTATTAGTAAGTGTATCCTTTATACTTTTACAATTCTACATCTCACTTCAAAATTATTTTTCCATTTCCAGCGTTCGGGTTGGGCACCATGATATATAACGGTTTGGAATTTGGAACATTTTTCGAGTTGCCTCTCGATTCACCCTGTTATTTAATCTTGAAGGGCGTTAACCCAGTGTTACAAATGGTGTTTACATTCATGCAAATGTATTTCATCTTTATGAATTCACGGGTAAGTAAATTTATTTAAGAACTTAAAATATTATTTATTTGTTACGCATAATATCTGCTAAAACATTACTTAATTTCAGCTCAACATCCACCGTTTCAAGGTGATCGCCCGATTTGGTCTGATGCACGTTGTTGCCACAAACATATGCGTGTGGATTCGCACTTTAGTTCTCGAATCCCTTAAAGAGATTACTGATTACCACGTGAAGAATCCTCTAGGTGTCCCTGGCGAAGGCGTACTTGGAAGTAATTATATATCAACTATGTATTTCACTTTGTGTTTGTGGTGTTTACTAACAGTATCGGTAAATTTTACTTTATTATTCAAATGTAGAAGTCATCCGAAAGCACACTTTGAGGCACTCTGGTAAAGTATTTGGGGCTGCAACTGCGGCAGCCACAACTGTGGCCTCGACGGCAGTGTCAATGGCTAAAAGCACTAGTGATCAGATCTTGAATGTTGTCACAACCACCGTTGTTGCCCCAACAATGGCTTCCACTACCAGTGAGTACCTACTGTATAGCGTTTTGAATTTTGCTGTTCCTAACATATACTAGACATTGAAAAACCATCTTACATGATCGTAACACCCCGATTAATATGCATGTTTGATTTAAACACCTAAATCCAAATTTTCAGCGACCACTCCCTCACCGTATTATAATGCCGGTGGTGGGTTCACACAAAAGTCGAAAGTAATCGATACCATTAAAACGACAGTAGGGTACGCGAACAGGGACTGGGGTCACGATCTAAAAGACTCGTGGCCGAACGATAACCCGTTCACGACAACGTCGACCATCGCACCAATAACATCGCAGAACGAAAAAGTGACCCAGACCCAAACGGCCATGTTGGAAGTATTCCAATGGCTTTACACTTCAACTTTGAAACCGATCGTCAGTACTATGACAACCATGGCTACATCCACACCCGGGCCTTATGTAACCGACAAAGACGAGTGGACTAATAGTATTCAAAAGTATCGCGTTGATGAACCACCACATGCGCCAGGTTTGTCGTTGGAGCGTTCCGTCATCACGTTTTGTTCGCCGCCGCTACACCGTTAATTTGCGTTTCTGTTATGTTTTCATCACGTAGATTGCACATGCAATTTCGTTTATCACTCATAGTCTGTGCGTTGTGCATGTGCCGTCTTTGTTTTGTCCTTATTTTGGTCAACATTCAACTCAGCTCAGGAATCGTGAACAAATCACACAGGTTTACATTCTGTTTCCTCAGCCAACAACTCCACGGAGGTATTCGAGTCGTTCGACGCTATGAACCCGGCTGCCTTGATTGCCAATATTGACAATTCAACAGTTTGCGGACGGAACCCCATAATGGGTACAATTGTGACGGATTCCGCTCCGTACCTTTACCCATTCATCATCGAGTACTCACTTATTGGGGCTGCCGTCATTTACGTCATGTGGAAACATATCGGAAGATACCCAAGGTGAGTGTCGTTTTTAGGCTGTCATATTTCATACTGTGTAGACATCCTTCACTTCTGTAGCGATGCAACCAATAGCATTTTCCATAACAGTAGACAACTAAAGACTAATCATATCATTTAGCCTAGTAACTAATATATTTACTAAAGTCTAAGACATTATCAACGAGAACCCGTAGCTGTTTCACTAACAAGCGCGTATAATTGACATGTGCGCACGCATTTGGTTGCAGCGTGGCGAACGATGAAGATCTGGAAAGACGTCTGGAAGCTGTTCTCTCCCGCAGGGCAGCGGCGTTAGCGGCCGCACAACGAGGCAATCGCGTGGACTGTGCAGGCGCTTCCAAGGGCCTATTCTGTGGACTGCTGCTCTTGGTCGCATCCCTTATCTGCTTGATCCTCTTCTTCGTTTTGATCAGACACCAGGAGTTGAAACGCCTCTCGATTTACTTGGCCGACGTCTCACATTGCGGACTTATGGTTCTATCTATTCTGGCGATATTGATTGGGTTTATACGGTAAGTGCGTGTAAATTTTATCAAGGCACGTTTTGTTTGTTCGTTTATTTTGTTTATTATTTTTGGACTTTTATTTATGTTATTATTGTTTTTCTCCCTTACCCCTTTCCTTCACCCTTTTGTTTGCTCCGTTTTTCTTAATAACTTTTTGCACGTGTACCATTGTGCCCTTCTTTTTTCCAAATCTTTAACGTAATGTTCAACATCACCCCATTTTCTACCCTAATTAAAAATCATCGATTTTTTCACCTAAAATCGGTCTCGTGCGAACCCGTTGTCAACGTTTATTTGTTTACACGTTTCTACTTTCATCCCCTTTTGAGTTTTCGTTACCATTCCTGGTTGTTCTCTATTCAATACAATAATCACTAGTGGTCGTAAATTGAAATGGAGCTACAATCTTCCTTCCTGTACCGAGCCTCTCCGCAGGGTACAATCTCTGAAGTTCCGCTCTGAAGAGCAGTCAGACCTGAACGACATACTCCTGCGCGTCTCTGCCTTCGGACTCTTCGTATACGCCGTGTTTAGTGTCATCGCCGGTGGAATGGGCGCCTTTACACACGAACCGAACCTCCTTGTGATGATTACCGGATGCTTGAGCGTGCTCCAGGTAAATAAACGTTTTTTCAAAAGCTTACTAATACGAGAGGTGGATTGGCGCACCTCGCCGAATAATACTGAAATATCTGAGACATATAACGTTTTGAGTTAAAATCAATCAGTCTTAAGGCAAGGTATCACTTGAGAATGAAAAACGTTCATCGCCAAAGCGGCCCATTGAAGCTACTACAGAAAATAACTCGGAGAAATGGTTAAAGAAATGGATGGTATGTAATGGCGGAGAATGTTAAACGATACGACTATTTTTAAAATCCTTCACACCATTCATTTGTTTCATTGTTAAGAGCCCAATTTTCGTGTATTTTTAGACAAGGCCAAAATACTTTAGACCGACTACATAAACTAACTGAGAGGTCCAAAATGAAAATATATCTATCTTTAAGGTGGGTTGTGATGGGGGATAAAGAAAAGGATTTTTTTTAATTTTCATATATTGTCACTCATTCTACGAATTTAACAACGCTCTGCGTAAATTTCCCGTTTTCCTTCAACCCTCAGACTTCACAGAAATTTTAAGGTTAGATTAAATTGTATTTCGTATGTATATTTTTGTTGGATTAAAATGTATTACGTATATCTCTGTTAGATTAAAATGTATTACGTTACCGCTTTCAGGTGGTTCTTCAGTTGCTGTTTATTGCCGACGTGTCCCGTCGTCGAGTGCATTTGCCGGAACAAGAGCGGAGCAAGCCTGCTCGCCAGGCAGTCACCTTCCTCCTCATCTGCAACGTCACCATGTGGCTCATTTATACCTTCGAAGCGCAGAAAGTTTTGGCAAACCCGGTAATTATGCACGCTCCTTGGCGTATCCGCAACTAAAATTTCAAATTGAGAGTAACAATCAGAAAGTGTTGGAATAAAATCTCAAAATATCGGAGCAATACATGCATATCCATTTAAATAAATAATCATAAAAATCTGATATTACACCATTAGGTACTTAACGTCATAAGATTTATAAAAAAAAATAGATTGCTATTCTAATTATATTGGTATTAATACTACTACACTATTACTATAAACTATTATCTCTCCGTATCATACCTTCTATATAATTTCTCACATTCACTTATTATATCATCCATACTAATATTATAAATGCGTTAGTAACTCTGTCTGTCTGTCTCGCTTTCACGCCAAAACTACTGAACCCATTTATATGAAATTTGGTACACAGATACATATAGTCTAGAGCCTGAGAAAGGACATAGGCTACTTTTTAATTGGATAAAGGGTTCTTAAAGGGGATAGATATTTATTTAATGGCTTCAACGCGAGCGAAGCCTCGGGCGAAAAGCTAGTATAATATAAAGCGGAACGATTTTTAAACGCCGTGCAGTAGGAATATGCGTCGTCTTTATTAAAATATATTTGGTTATTTGTATATAATATCATTGATTTTTAAGTAAAAAATATCACCGTCAACTCCTGAGAATTTATTTACTCTCATACATTATAAAGAATATTTTGGCTTTACAAAGGTCAGCCAACTAATTACAAAAAAGAAGGGGATTCTCGTTTTGGTTGTATTTTTTTATTTATGTTACGTGTACCTCAGAACGCCGTCATATAAGAACCGATTTTAAAATTAAGATTTTCATTGACTTAGGTTTAGGTCACATTATATAATAACTCACAAATTAATGTCATCGATATTGAAGCTTAATCTCCAGAGATACAGTATCAGGGAACCTCTCAAAATCAAATAGAAATGTATAGTGAGCGAGATATTTGAGTCTATTTTTTTTAAATAAAAATGTACTTTTTATTTAACAGGTACAACTTGACTTCTACGGATTTGTGGCTTGGTCGCTGGTCCAACGGTTCACTCTGCCCCTTTGCATCTTCCATCGCTTCCACTCTGCCGTTACCCTAGCCGAGATTTGGAAGACAAGCTACAAAGCGCGCTTGGAGTGAACTTAAAGCAGTTCCATTTAGCGACGGTTGGACCCAATCGGAATGGGTGGAGGATATCGATTACGTCCTAATCCGGGACAGCAATTTTATTAATTAGAGCAAATACATTTGTTGCTAGTTTCGAATTGTCTCGCTCTTTCGTCGTATTAACATAGTTAGTCATAGGTTCGTATATAGGACATCATTCTTGATGTTTGGATTATTCTAGAAGTTTATTGTTCTACCGGAGTCTATAACCGATGGCGTCATACAATAATGTCTACTACGCATGTCGATTTATTATGTTGGTTATAAGCATCCTGAAAATGGCATGTTCTCTCTTTCTTACATTCCATGTTCTGTTTTAATATCATAATACACATTACGTTTCTCAGAAGACTGAATGCGGAGACTTGAACGCTTACTGAAAATTTAAAAAAAAAATAACTTTTTAATTTCTCACCACATACGTAAAGAGGATTTGCTCACATCTTGAATCATTATTATGAGTCTCAAAGGAATTTTCGAGTAAATTTTTCCCTTTTGAAAAAAGTGCACTAAACGAAAACAAATAATACGAACAATTTCCAGTTGTGATGTGTTCCCTCCTATGTTAGACATAATTTTGTGCCATGATTTTAGGGTAAGGTTTAACACAAATTGAACAATATTTGACAATTATTTCTTTTCATTCATGTCTCCGAAATTGACCTTAAACAAGTGTAAATTATCGATAAATTTAAAACGAATAAGTTCATGTTTAATCGACGTAATATCAGCAGAATCTAATGTATGTGTGTACTTTAAATTTGTAGTGCATTTAATGGTAGATCATGTAATAAATTTTCAGAAGATTTATTAGCCAACATATTATTTGAGATAAGCAAGTAGAATTCTATTAAAAGTTTAATACGTATGTAATATTAAGAGTTAGATAACATTCGAAATAAATGATTATGACGATTTAAAGGTACTTAAATGTAGAGAATTACATTGGCGCAGATTGCAGTAAACTGCTGTTTGCTATGACAAAACTATTGGGTATTTGAGTTGAAGGAATTTTAAATTGCAAGGGGCCATAAAATTAAATTTTTTATCTACATCGCACACTTTAGCGCTAATATTTGATTAGCACACTGACAATTAAAATCTGCAATAGCTGTTGTAGACGTAAAGTTAATATTGTGACGAATTAACTTTAAACATTTATGGTACTTATATACGTCGTAAAGGCTTCTATATTTGTGGTGACGTCAAACCTTGATATTTCTAAAAAATGTCTTGATATTTGTCAAATAACAAATCACTTTATTGCGTTGCATTAAATACTTCACTGCAAATATTTTCGTAACGGTCTTTTGTGCAATCTATTTTTATAAGCTATCTAATTTTACATTCAAGGTATATACCGGTGTGTATGGTATAATTAATCGCACTAAGCGTAATATCATTTCGACGTTATGAATTTTTGTATAATATAGTTCTTAATAAAATTATTTATAATATATTTATAATTTTATAATTAACATTAAGATTAAAACGTAATTTATTGATTCAGAGAGTTATGTGTGCTCACGTTGTGAGGTTTTGAGTGATTGTAGTTGGAGTATTTTGACTGGTTTAATATTATATTTTAATGTTAAACCTAATTATTCTTAATCAAATAATGATTTAGTAACATTTACAGCCCAATCATATAATTTTTAAGATGGTGGCACTAATGACTACACAAAAAAAATTGATATTATTCTGTGAACCAATAAATGTGTTGGCTTGTTTATCACTGCCGTTAAAAAAAACAACACTTTATAACATAAGACCTTTGATAAATCTATACTATTTCTAACTTGTTCAATTTTGTAGGATATATACCGTATACCTAAATGTTTGGAACAAAATGTACCGAAGTTTGTAATGTTAGTCTTAACATGTGGTTACGCAATCAATGTTGAAATAGATACCAAAAATTAAAATTTGGAAATTCTACTTTAAATTATAGAATGTAATGAATATAAATGTCTATTTAAATAAATCCAATTAAATTATGGCGTAAATGTTTTATTTTTTGTAGTCTGAATTATTACTCTTACTTACATCACTGAAAAAGATTTCTCGTCTCTCCCTGGCTTTTATGGGTACTTACTAGGTGTAATAAATAATGGAATGTATACCTAACTTGGAACATTCTTCATATAAAGACGAAAGATTTATATATACAGGGTGATTTTATAGACGACGAACATATTAACAGAGCATATGCAGAATTTGATTCCAAATCTATGCATCTGGTACGTACTTGATAAAGATTATTTTTAATTTTTTCAAAAATTATGGACACCCTATTGGAAATTCCTGCATTACCGTCGTAATGCAATAACCTATTCACGAGCACTAAAACTATGCGCTGAACGCACAATTACTAAATCGCTTATCAATATGGTGACCACTCATAAAGGGCTAAACAAACAATGTTTGAATTGATATTTTTCTGGTTATTTCTTGTTAAAATAAAGTATTATTTTTTTTATTATGGAATGCTCAATTGAATACTCAACGTAATGTCAAAGTATGGCCTTCGTCCAAAAAATCATAATAATATAATATACACAGTCAAGGGCGGATCCAGAGGGGGGGGGGGGGGGTCATGGGGGTCATGACGCCCCCTGGGCTGAGTCTAGGACCTAGGTGGACCACTAATTAAAATTTTTAAACATAATGTTTTAATATGTTTTTTTGCCATAATATAGATTTTATATAAGTTCCTTCAATATTTAATTAAATTAATATAATATTTTTAACCGACTTCAAAAAGAGGAGTTTCTCAATTCGATTGGTATATTTTTTTTTTCGATGTATGTACACCGATTACGTTGAGATTTATGATCCGATTTACGTGATTCTTCTTTAGTTTGATGCAGAATGGTTGTCATTTGGTCCCATAAAAATTTACCATAGTTTGGCCAAGTAGTTTTCATTTTATGAACATTTTTACAATATTTTAATTTTAAATCATCAAATCAAATCTTGCAAATTAAATTTGATCTATTTCCCGGTTACCGGTTGAGCTGTAATTTTGTATACATGTGTAAATCGCGAGACAATGCAATATTTTTATGACATGGTGCTGATCTGATGATGGAGCTGGAAGGAAGGCCATAGGAACTTCGAATCAAACCACAGAGCCTCATCGCGTTTGGGTACATTTGAATAGTATTGACGAGTAGTTTGTCTTTCATTGGTAACCAGGATCTGATGATGGAGCTCCATCCTCAGCCGTCCATGGACATATGCATAGGGTTGCTGATGTGTTTTCTCCTTATAATAAAGTGGGCTCCAGCTACCTCACTCACCAGACAAATCGCAGAAGTACTTTACGCCGATCTTCTGTGATGATTCTGTGAGGTTCCTATGACTACTCTGTAATGAAACGTCTTGATGATTCGTCTTGGCGAGTACTTAATTTTTAGATGGTTACCATTATCTGATGATGGAGCTGGAAGACAGTCATATGAACTCAGTAAAGAAACGGCGCAACCCTATTGTGTCTCGGCTCGTTTGATTCGCTATGACGAGTTCTTTGCTAGATGGTAACCAGGGTCTGATGACCGGGCTGGAATGTGGCCATAGGAACTCAGTAATTAAGGAACACAACTGCGTCGAGTTTGATTTGTCTTAATGGGTGGGTTTTTTATGGGTGGTGAGATGTGGTGGTTTAGTGGACGTGAGTATGCGAGACCATCTTTGGGAAATAAAGTTTTCTGTGAATGTGGATTCTGTCTTTGATTAGATGGATTAGAAGCGCTGAATATTATGAATGAACGAATGAATGAATATTTTTTTTGTAATTTATGAACATTTTTTTAATGTGGACGATGTCATTTTATTTTGTGTACGGCTATTTTAGGAGTAGTAACCAATACGACAACATAAAATCTGGCAACGAAGAAACAAATAAAATAAATTGCAAAAATAAGTAAGCTTACCAATAGCTACTTAAAAAAAACTATACAGGGAGGCTTTTCTAAGTGTATCCATTTTTTTATCAAATTCTAAACATAAATAATGTTATATAAATAATGACAAATATTTGAATTCACTCGTAATTAATTAATTACATTCATTTGAACTTATCTCAGAAAGTGCGCGATTTATGGGCAACTCATTTATTTTACGCGCGATCATTCATAACTAACAAGCACACAAGTTCGTTTCAAAAGTATACGACGCATTTATGAATGACTACCTCATTGTCAACAAGTTTGTTTTAGGGAATAGAATGCCTTCTTCTCGAAATCTTTAAAAAAAAAAGTTTGTTTTTATTTCAATTAACGATTATACTACCGAGTCTGAACCTCCTGTGTGAAAGCAACGAAATGTTACGTACAAAAAGTTGAAGTCGGTTAAAAATAAGTACCTACTTTTTACTTGTATCTACGATTATAAAAATTAAATTATAACTTCTTATCACTTGACCACGACTACGTGACCCCCCCCCCCCCCCCTGGCACCAAAGCTGGATCCGCCCTTGTACACAGTACTATAGTACAGTACATTAATATACACAGTTCAATCAATGTGTAATCTGCTCAAGCGACATCTAGCTTCGTTCTTAATTTTTATATAGGTGTACTTACTTATTTCTAATCTTCACTCACGGTAACGTAGGTACATAATACAACCATAGATGGCGTCCGGCAGTAACATTTGAACTAAATATATTTTATACGGTAGGTAAACAGAGTAATACACATTACAATTGTACATGTAATTACATCACAATTTTATTTATCTGGATTCCGGTTATCGGATGCATTGATCGTCGTTTTTGTCCAATAAGGGAATAAATTAGAAATTACGGACGTTGCTGTTGGTCGGAAAATCGGACGACGAAAAACTATATTATGCACTAATTATTTACTAAAACTCCACGGAGGGAAATGCTGAGACCATTTTATAGAACACTGTAAGAAAAGGTACCGAGAGTAACCAATCATAGTCGGTGACGATGTGTATAAGATTACTGTACATTGGACAATTATGTAATAACATCCTATAAACTACACTTATGCTTAAGTATCAAACCCTTGCTCTCCTCTTTTTTCTTATTGCTTTAACTTTAATTACGCCATCTTTTTCATACAATTCGAAGGAAACGTGTGAATGTGTTCTGTCACTCGATTTGGATATAGGAACACTTTAGTGGTTGACCAGTGATTTTGTATTCTTATAACATCTGTAGTTAGTCTAAGATCCGAACCTAAATCGACCTTCACCGAGCTGATAATAGAATAAAATTATATTAGAAAATATATTAAAATGGGTTGTCTAAAAAAATTCTGGACTGAATATTTTTAATAATTTAAAAAAAAATGATTTTTAATGATTATCCTGACTTGCACTAAAAACATAGAATGTGAAGCCGTTGGGTTGTCTGATCGGATTTACCTAGATGAATTACGGCTCAAAAGATGACAGCGAACAATTTTTTAAACAAGATTAAATTTTTGACTCCAACTTAATACCGCCGTGTTGAACTTCTTTACTACAAATTTTTTTAAGAACAATAGATGTAAATTCTATGTGGCTTAATGCATATGTGCGAAGTTAGACCCTGTAAACAACGGATGACATTAATATGGTTTTTTAAAACCAACAGGTTTTATCCGAGATCAACTTCTTTGAAAATCCAGGATATTATTGAAGTGGAGGAAAATGAAAAAGAACCTAATGATTACGAAGAATTCGAGAATTATATTTTTTCTTCTGTTTAATAAGATCTTGAATAGAAACTTTTTCCTGGATTTTCCTCTGTCCATATTAAAATTTATGGTCATTATTATAATTTTTGTATTTATGTTGTTCTGTAATAAAATCTTTAAATATAATACATTTTTTATCTCTGTTTCTTTTTGTTTCTCTTTAATTTTTTCCAGAAAGAGCAATAAAATTTCAAAGTAAGTAATTAATATTTTCATTAATTACGTTATATTTTGAGTTACCGTCAAACGGGGTGAATAGGAATCGAGGGGTGAATAGGGATAAAATCGGGATTGAAATAATCGTGCTATTAACTCTGAATATCTACTAACCATAGCCAAAAATGTCAAAAATGTATGGTAGAATAGTTACTTTTTGAACTGGCAGCATTTATTTGACATGAAGTTAGGAATAAATTGTCAAAACAACATTCTGAAGTTACTCGTTGGTATTACCTGGATTTAGTGTCTTATCTTTTTATCAAGTTATATTGTTTTTGTGGTTGTATTGGTATCAAAACAACTTTAGGCGAGGTTCGTGTTTATTCTAGAATCTGTTGAATGCAATCTAAGTACTATTGAAAGACTACTTTAATCATAAAATTATATTTTATTATGACTAATATTTATTAACATTTTAAGAGGTTTTTCGGTACGCGTCAGGGGTTTTTAGGCACGACTGGGGGGTCAATTGGGACGGGATATTTATTAAATAGGGACGATGCAGTGTGTCAAGAGACAGTAAAGGGACTATAGGGACAGGGCTGCCACTTGATTTAGAAATAATTTACACGATTTACTTTCGATCAAACTATTAATATATTTTTTTTTACATTCTCTATAATTGGAAAAAGACCCGATGGGAGAATGCAGGCTACTGTATCCAAAAATATATTTCCGTCGCTTCTTAAAATGCTAATGAAAGAGATAGAATGCAACACCCATAAAAATATTATAGCAGAAATAAGGTTTTAGATAGACTTCCAGCAATAAATCTAGAATATATATATATATATACATGTATATATATATATATATACATATTATATATATATTCATAAAATACTTGTTTTTATTCAAAGTCAAATTATCTAACTACACTACTTACCTTAATTACTAATACGCTACCTACTTACGTATCTTACAAAAATTGTTATTGTGACAGCCCTGACGGTTTTTCCCTATAGCGCCAATCATCGTCCCTATTAACTCCATTTCGTGTTTAAATAGGGATGACCTAAAAATATGTAAAACTGGATGATTTACTTGCTTTAGTGTTAAGAGTTTATGAAACCTCAGGATGCGACTCAAGTTTTGATACCAAAATCAATAAAAAACTTTGAGGCATTATTAGTGATAAGTTTACCCAAAGTTCAATTCTGTGCCCATTCACCCCGTTTGAAGGTATATTATACTTATAGGTAACAGAGATAAAAAATACACTAAATATCGTGTAATGAAATGATAAAAAATAGACTAAATATATCATAATAGACAATGATAACAAGTGGTAAAACAGCTTTCTATTGTTCGATAGAATTACAGCGTTAATTTACAACCCAAAGAACTTCTAATGTTGTATTGGCAGTAAATGGTATAATATTGGTCATTTAGGTAAAGTATAAGTACGTAAAACTTGTGCCGTATTTTGAATTACAAATTTATCTTAGCTGCTATTGACATTCATTATTTACATTATTTCAACGTAAATGTTAATCGCTATTCGTTGAAAAATCCACCTTACGCAATGAATTTTAGATTTCATTTTGTAAATGACTTACGATCAATGATATTTTACAATTAGTAGAAGATCCGAACCTAAATCGACCTTCACCGAGCTGATAGTAGAATAAAATTTATTCTATAATAAATTTAGTATATTAAAGATATATTAAAAATGGGTTGTCTAAAAAACCCTGAACAGAATATTATTAATAATTTTTTTTAAATTATTTTTCATGAAATGATGTTGCAACATCAAGATAATAAGAAAATAATTATCCTGACTTGCAATATCGCGAATGGTACTTTTTTTCGATACTCCGCTTTCTAAAACAGTCACTTTGCACGTTGCACTCAATTCAGTAAATCATAGAGTTAATAACTGTGGAATAATATGATTAATTTATTATTTATATGGTACAGGCCGTTCTATTCATAGTCAAAATTCTATTAATTATAATTCTAACTGATAACAATTTTCTGCGAGTTTGTGATTAAAATAATTTATGTGTGCATTTATTATGAAAATGTGTACTATAATTTTTTGTTAACTACTATCCTTTTAAACTTTTTGTACTATCTTTTTTACCGCACCTAAATCCAACCGCACTAGATGATTACGATAATGTCAATGTCAATTTTGGTTCTTAGTTATTACAAACTGACAGTTCTGCTGCTGTACGTACTGTAATTAAAATTTTAATCTGCTTATTTTATAGTTACTCATTCTTCGTTAAAGATTATCCATCTTTGTTCTTGTATAATATAAAATACTACACCTCTTTACTTTAGATTTGGTTAGTTTCAAATCATCGTGATAAGCAGTGGGAATATAAAACCAATAAAAATAGTGCTACCAATAATGAACCTAGAATTAATGTGAAAAAAGTGATTGCTTGTAACTTTAAGTTTACCTTATAAATTAAAATGATATTACGGTGCAGTTTGTTAATGTTACTCTTTACTTTTGTTACAACGTCTGAAGATTTATATAAAAATGGTGGGTCGAAAACGGAGCTGGACAATGTTTATTCTTTATGGCCTTCAGTGCATAATGCGGCACGGTTAATGAATCTTCGCAAACGGGAAACACAAGGACAAGTCGGGCAAAATGAAGGTGGTGGGACGGATATCAAAATTCAAAATTCTATTGCTGAACATACACAACTCTCGAACAACACTGTCAACAAACAAACCATAAATAATATTAATAACAGTACAAATAATACTTTAAATAAAGATAATTTAAAAGGTAGGTTAGAAATAAGCATGTTAATATAACACATAGTTTTATTGATCTGCGTTTGATGAAGCTTTAATATTTTAAGGACTAAAAGTGTAACATCAGAAAAAATAAAAATAAGTTTTATTGGCATCTATGATTTCGCAAAAAGTTTTTTCAAACATATTTCAGAGATAATACCAAAAATAGTATCTTGCCACTAACAAAAGAAAAAATAATGTTGACAAATAATTCATCTTTATCTTCTACATGAGAAATATAAATGATACCAATTCAATATAAAAATAAGCCAATTTCTTATTGTTTTTATGTCATAAAAATGTTTCAACTTGCTCAATCATTCTGCAATTGAAATTTTTCAGGTAATGAAATATCAAATATTTCACCCAAAAATGTGATACAATCCAACACAACACTGAATATTGAAGAAAGCAGTAGTGAAATCAAGTTAAATGAAACCACTACTAGCAAATTAGATATTAACAATCCTGGAGTTTTGAAGAGAGGCCTTATAGTGTTTGGTGGATTTGCACTGATGGCTGGTGCCTATTTTATATTTTACAAGTAAGTTAATTAGTTCACTGTGATGTTGAACTTTTAATTCATGGCATTCTGGTTTAGTGACAACTTACGACACTTACTTTCAATGACAACCCTTTAACAAATTATTCAACCTTGTTATGTTTATAAATCTTTCGAACATATTTATGTTGAATATTGGTTTTAATTAATTGTAAATAAGAATTATCTACTAGAAGATATGTTTTTAACCTTATCATTCAGTGTAGATAAGTTTTGTAAAAACATACAAAAGAACTTGATGTTGACTTTACCATCATCATTATTAAAAATCATTTTCAATTCAATCTTTATTAATATTTATTAAAGTGCATTATTAACATACTGTGTGTTATATGTATAGTAAGTAGTATAGTGTTGTATAAATATCAATGTATATTTATATTTAATTCCAGAAGAAGCCATAAGAAAAATGATGCCAACAACTCTCATAACACCAGTGAAACAAACCAGTTTAGATATGGTGTTCTTCAGTCTGACGATCGAAGAGAGAACATGGAACTTTCAAGAATTCCCCTAACAATGGACTCGGATGATGATGATGATGAGGATTTGGAAATTTTCGATTTGGGCCAGAAACAGAAATCTTTGTCGTATGTTAACTTGCAAACACATGAAGATGAGGCTATTAATAATTCTATGGATGTTGACAAAGATGGAGACAATCTTCTATTGGATATTGAAGATGCATCAACAGACACTTTAATAAACTGGTCAAATAATGGTAACAAAACTATTTTATAATGGATTCATGTTGAAGTTGGCTATAAATTATATCTAAGAGACACATTGTGTCAATTTATTTATATTATGTTAAAAGTACTTTTCTTCCATAGTAACTGTAATGTATTGATATTAAACAGAAGGCAATTGTTGAAATATAGTATATTTTTTGAGGGAATATATTCTTAAATACATGACACATTATTTTTTAAATGTTTTGTTGCATTTATTCAACTTGTATGAAATATGTTAGTGCCATCTACCAATTGTTCTATCAAAGGAAACATACATGAAAAAGTAATATTTTAACAATTGAATACTTGAACATTTAATGGTAATATCAAAAAACAAAATATTTTGCAGAAACAGCCGTTTTCATTAAGCTATGTTTTGTCATACATAAAAATGTCTTCATTTGTTCCTTTTTTTATAGCAATTTAGGAAACTCAATTTACTTGCATTTATTGTAGAATTGCAATGCACAAAAATTCTTTTAATTCAAATATTTTTATTTTAAGAATAAGCTATATTTTTTGTTTGCTATATTGAATATTTTGATTAGCCATGACAAATTTACAATAAAACATGCAGGTATTATGCAAATTGATCAGACTTTCATGTTATGATTTTACATTTACTACAAGAATCTATGATTTTTATCATAATTATGTCAAGTTATCTAAAGGTAAAATAGACAGTCTGTTGAAATAAACTATATTATGACAGCTGAATCCCGCCACACTTTCCTGAGGTTTTCTTGTCATTTCCATGGCAACTTAAGATAAATTTAGAATAAAAAGTATATAAAGTAAAAAAGTAAGTATAAAAACACCCTCCCATTCAATAGCTATGTTGTAAACAAATCAAGTCAACAGTCAATCCATCTGCTACTTTTGGAGTTTTTTGGACACAAATATAAATAAAAATAAAGCTAATTTTCTTTAAATGAAAATAATTTATGTTCTTTAAAAGTAAATTACCTACATATCCATTAAATTATTGCTTACATTGAAGTTTTCATTCACAAACATTTTTCAAACAGTGTTATTTTAATTTATCAAATATAATTGTATCTACATTCCAAATTAAAATAGAACATAGTAAATATTCAGAACAAAATAATTTTATTTTGACTATAAAGCTTCATTCAGTACTTTTTTTTTATAAACTCATTATCTACTTGAACATAAATAGATTAGTCTTTATGTATGTGTATGGATGTGTATGATGGTATTTATGCCTAAAACACGTAAAATGTTTTGCTCAGTGTTAATTATTTTTAATTCAATTAGTAAACCAGCATTGTTAAATGCTTACTAAGAAATTATATTGAAAGGTTTATTGAAGCAAAAAATAGAGTGCATGATGTAATGCTTTAGAATTCAAACAGTTGGTGCAAATTTACTAAATACATCCCTCAAGGAAAACATCTCTAAAGTTGTTAATGGTTGACTAATTGCCAATTGATATGGCCGGTGCAAATGGGAATTTTCAAGAATTCATTTTCTGCAAGCTTAATACAAACTCTGTGCCCTTTTCATAAGTGTTAAAATTGGTTGTGGTGATGTTTATTTATACTGGAAGGAAAAATATAAAATCACCATATATAGTTTGTGATTTGTACTTACTCTGCAAGTTAATAATTTTTAATCGTTTACATAAAATCTTTTGTGCATTTCAATACAATAATTTTATTTCTTATAGTACTCATTTAATTTAACATTTTCGGCAATTAAAAACATTTGCTATACTAGTCAAAAATATGTACATAATGATAGCTCAAGATGCTGAATATCAAAATGTTAAAACATAATTATGACTATTGAAATTATACAGTGAATAGAAGGTGAATTTCTAGATGTCTTTGCCCTATTTTAATCTGGGTATATTGTTTCCTCTACTGCTTTCACAGGTTAGCACATGTCCAATAGTGTTAAATGTATGAAAAACATATATTTCTCAAATTATTTTTCCTACATTTGTGCTGGATGTACAAATATAAGTTTGTTGTTTGTCATGTTTTTTTTAATGTGAAATGGTAACAAGCGAGCTGGCAGTTCACGTGATGTTAAGCAATAACCGCTGCCCATTGACATTTGCAACACCCGTAGGGTTGCATATGCGTTGCTACCTTTTAATAAAATGGGCCCCAGCTACTACATTCCACTTTACGCCAGTCACCTGTGAGGACGTGTTACTTCCCCGAACGGACCTGCCCATTCGTGCAACAGCGAGAAACGTTGCTCGGTCTTACCGCATTAATGTTCAGGTGTGGTTGAATTTAGATAAACATGAAAATACAAGCAAATTCTATTGATAGTGTTAATCTAAAAATACCTATTTTTCGTGAAGACTTGGCAGGGGGACAGGCAGTTCACCTGATGTTAAGTGATTATTGCCGTCCAAGGACATTTACACCAGAGGGTTTTGCAGATCTTAGTAAATATGTTTTAATAGGTGTTTCTGTAAGAGTTCTTACAAAATTTTACCAACTCATCATAGGCACGAATTCTTTAAAGCAGCTTGCGGTATACGTAAGTCATTAGTCATTGTCACATAAGGAAAAAGCATTATGCTCTCCATTTGACTACCAGCAACTTTGTATTCCTATACTAAATACACTACAATTTTGTTACCATTTCTCCATTTATTACAACTTAACTTATACATAACTGTTCCTGTTATTTAATACATATTATACAATAAAGTAATTTTGTTCCAATCGGTCATGAGCCAACAACAGTTTTTTAGACCTCTTTGTTTTGCAGTTAGTAAGCAAATTCATCAAGAGCAGTTCTCATTTTAATTTAATTCATCAAGTTTTTATTTTGGCAAATAATTTTGTGTTTTCACAGACAAGCAGTGTATATACATATTGTATTAGGGACCAATAACATGGTGAATTTATGTGTTTGCAGAATTCATCGATAAACATATCTTTACTAAAAACCAGATTTTTTTATATTTAGGCAATACAATTATATATATATATATATACAAATTTGAAATACCACAGAAAATTTTAATAAAAAATTAAATTTTATTTATCGAGATTGCATTTAGGAATTAAGAAGTTGGTGGTTTTTATCAAATAGAGTAAAACGGAAAGCTTCTAAAGTAGGTAATGATTAAACCATAGGTAATCTAAGAAATTCTACCCTCCTAGTTAATATCACATGTTATATTTATTTCCCTTCCAATCAGAGTGAGATGATACATCTCACTGTTGATTTTTTGTAAGTTTACACTGTATACTTTTGTCATATGTGAAATTTACTATTTACATGCTTTTTAAATTAGAAATCGTTTTCAATTAAAAATAAAGTAAACCTGTTTACAAACTTACCATTTAATTGAAACGGATAATTGCATTCAAAAAATTATTGACACTACAAAAATTAATAAGTTTTTTGTGTTGGTAATTGGACATAAAGTCAAATCTAGGTCTTTAATTGTAATATAAAAATAAATGTAATTGACGACTCCGTGGCGCAGTTGCCAAGGTATTATTGGCTTCGGCGTCGTGGGTTCAATCCCCACACGGGACTAGTATTTGTGTGACCCACAGATAGTTGTTTCGCATCTGGGTGTTTGTCCTCGTGCAATTTATGTTTGTAAAACTTCCTTACAACTGGATAACGTTATCCTAAAGTAAGGGTAATGTTTTAAAAATTAAATAAATAAAACAAAATCCTTATCATTTTGAAAATAAATACATTTTCTTGTAATCAAAACTAACCTTGAAGTTTGTTGGTAGGTGATTTTTAGTTGATAATATCGCTATATACTTATGTTTAATTATATTTTAACGTATGGTATGACTTAGAGAACTGTTAAGTGTTAACATTATTAATGACAACTTTGAGTAAAATTTATTAATACCCGCATTTGATTATTTATAACTAAGAAAGTAAACTGCATCAGAACTACAACATTCGGCCTGTGATAATAGACGAGAGAATATGTGAATTATTGTACAAATTGTATTTTTCCAAAATTCCATTTCAGCACTTGCGTAATATGGATCGTATTATAATAATGTTACTGCTGTTTAATTTGTTATTTAACGTTAGTGTTAACGCTGTTTCTAATAAAATAAATGTATGCTATTTTTATCTGTGTTTAAGATTCTCGTGATTTCTTTTACATTTTTCATTAGTTTTTAATTTTGTTAGATTAGCCGGAACAAACAGACAGACAGACAGATAAAAATTGTAAAAAAATATTTTAGTATATGTACCCTGTATACATTGAGTAAAACGCGGTTATTTTAATATTACAAACAGACACTCCAATTTTATTTATCTGTATAGATTATCTGTACCAATGAAAATGATGTTTAAATAAATTTTAAAGTTTTTTTATAGTGCTAATCTCTGCACTTAAGATTGAACATTAAAACATGTAGAAAAAGTACGAAAAGATTGATTGATTTTTCGAATTTATAAAAAGCAATGGCGACATCTCTTGTTCGAATTATCGTTGTAAAACGATATTCGAAATTGTTTGTATGCTGGAAAGGATATAACAATAGATGCGCCAAGCATTGCTTCAAATGCTAAATAACAATGTAGAAAGAAGGCGTTAAGATTTTCGTCGCTGTAGCTATCAGCCGTTAAGCTCAGTGGCTAGAGCGTCAGGCCGCGAATGCCGAAGACGTGGGTTCGATTCCCACAGTGGCGACAATCTTTTCGTACTTTTTCTACATGTTTTAATGAAGTTTAAATAGTTTAAAAATGTGAAAATAGAGGCATATGCCTCTTCTATACGTTATTAGTGCAAAATCCGCCATTCGCGCTCACTTCGGATTGGTGGACTGCAAATTTATGTGTGAAATATTTTTTCTATAATTATATTGTAAATATAAAGATGTCCTCACGATTTTTTTCTTTCACCGTCGAAATCGTGGTGCACCTGTACATAAAATTTTAATTTAAAAGGTTAATTTTAAAGTCGGCCGCCTGATTAGAACTCTAATACGCCGTACATGAGCGAGTAACCATGGCTCAACAACCAACAATTAGTGATGCTCAATATGGACTTTTTGCTTATTTGCAATGAGAGTGGTGAGTGAGAACGAATCCCCTGCGATACGTATACTTGCTTTACCGTTAAATATTACTGGCTTTGTTATAATTGTCGTAAAGAAACCGAAGTACCTGTGTTATTAAATATCATATCACAGAATTAAAGGTAATATTCTTTGCATGATGCATGGTGATAAAGAAGGCGCGCACTTATTTTTTTTTTGAGAAGTGCTTTTAATGTATACCAACTGGGTACGGGAAGTGCTTGTAAGTGTACGATAACTGAATGAATTGTCAGTGTACCTACCTATAATAGATATGAAAACTATGATACAGTTTTCATTCATTTTCAAAATTTTATCTATCTAGTGTTAAATGATGTAAAATCATATTTTTTATAAACAATAGTAGTATGGCCAATATTTTATATTAATTTTTTTACACATTAACAGCACTCAGGAATTTTAATACATTTTTTTTTATTTAGAACTGGCCAGCACTTGACTGCCATCCCACCTAATGGTAAGTGGCGATGCAACCTTTGATGGTAAGCGCGCTAGCTCAGTAAAAACCTATTCACTCTTGCCTTGAAGACGCCTACGTTGTAATCGGACGGAAAGACGGACGCCGCCAGGGTTTGTTCCATTCCTTAGCTGTACGGATGATGAATGATGAGGCAAATCGCTTTGTTCTTGTTTTGGGAACGTCGACAGCATAAGGGTGGAGCCTCGCCGAACGCCTAGTTGATACATATCGTTCATTAAATAATTTAAACATAATGGGCTGAACAAGTCCAATAATATTTACCCATATTAATTAAATAGTAAATAATACACCATTATATTATTTACGCATAGTGCTTACACTTACATTTTCAATAATTTTAATTTTCAATAGATTTGAATAGATTTTCTTTGTAAGAAGTTTACCTCGAATACCCATTTTATCTTTGATTCTTGGGAATAAATGAAAGATGCGCGGCGCGAGGTCGTGACTACATGGCAGATGGGTGATGACTCATTATTATGTTGACACCTGCTATAGTCAAATATTCAATTAATAGTTTCGCGAAGTGCATTGAAGCGTTGTCGTGGAGAAAGGGACATTTTGCAAAACAACAGGCAAATTACAGTTAACATATACACGTCTGCAGTAGAAGCACAACTGTCGCAAAATAACCTATCTGATAAAAGAACGAGGAAATCATCTTCTTTCTTGACCTCTTCCTTTCTTTACTTTAGTAAGTTGATCCTGAAAAGGAAACACAAACTGAGCAGATTGTCTTTTGGTTTCGGGTTCGTATTAATATGTCCAGATTTCATCACCTATGACGATGTCAAATACAGCATTAAAGTCACCGCCGTTGAACCTTTATAACACATAGTATGGGGATATCATCTGGTACAAAGCTTCTTTGCGCCTAAATGTTAGTGTAATATTTTTTGTACCTGACTTTGACATACCAATGCTTAAGCTTTCCCAAACCTGCTGGTAGGTCACTCGCTTATCTTTCTCTACAACAATCGTCGCACAGCACTGATGTTATCTTCACTTATTACTGTTTAAGGACGCAGATAATTTATGAGATTGCTACGCTCAAGCTTAAACTCATTAAATGAATTGTAAACACTGGCACGGGATGGGGCTTCATTACTAAATGCTAATCGAAGTCTATCATAGATTTGTTGTTAAGTAAGACCACAACGATAGTCGTAATAAATTATGGATTGCAAAAAATTTCTCGTGTTAAATTCATTTTACGTAACAAGACTTGGAATTGCTGCTAATTCACATAAACAAATGACAAATGAATGCAATTTACCTTTAACATTATGTTACCAAAGAGTTCTGTATTCAAAATTAAAAAAAGTTTTCATTTTTGTATATATGAATAATATATTGTGCATGATATTTTCCCTCATGTTTTCATCGTGTACCTTTTGCTGTAAGATGGTGGTGATTTGTTTGTAAATAATAAATTACTGTATATTTTTCTGGCTATTTTATTTTATGCTTTGTGAATGTCAAATACGAATGAGTCTCTAATCATAAAATCTTAATGAGTCACTTATCTTATTTTCCCCATCGAGAAACACCGTAATCATTATGTGTTCTAGAAATTATAGAAAACTCAGATGTAGTAAAGGTTTTTACTTAAAGTACAATAATTATTATCGGTACATATAATAGAATGAGTTTGATCTTGGGTTTTATACGGTTAGAACCGTATACGTAAGATCAAATTCGCTGAGCTTACTTAACTGCCAAGGATGAAATTACTTCCAATGAAACCAGTCAAAAGATAAAAAAATATGACAAAACGTGTTTTAAGCGAGAAAAACACCTTAAAATAAAGAAGACGGTATAAGAAAAATAAAGTTAAGTAAGAAAAATAAAGTTGATGAAAAAATTAAAGTTGTAGAAAAAAATAGGTTATTGAAAAAATTAAGTTGTTGAAAAATAAAATTAAGTAAGAGAGATAAAGTTGTTGACGAATAAAATGCAAAATATGATCGATTTGCCAACAGCAAATCAAAACGGAAGCTGGTTCAGTACCTCGAAAACCAAGACACTTGAAGCTTTTTAAATAAAGTTAATACTATTACAAACTTCCTCTGTTTCATCTTCATCATCAAAATTTCAGCCTGCTTGAATTTTTCGCATAACTATCTCCGTCTTACGTCTGTGTTCAATGTGCTCACCAGGTTATGATAACAATGAGTTTTAACTATTTTTGATAAGACATAAAACATTATTTTCGGGATTTTAATTCTTTAAGTTATACTGTATTAAATAGCTAATTACGTAGAGGGATCATTGTAGTATTCTCATTCGTAAAAACGGTCGTAAGGCACGTGAATACTATGGTATTGTATTTTCTGTTGTATACTTCCCATGTGCTGAGGGTTGCATGTATCGAATGTGTGGAACAGTTGCAGCATTTCCTTTCGTGTCTCGTCCGCGTTCGGCACGTACGCGTCCGCCCGTCTGAGATATTGAGATAAACGAACCGGCACATTGGACGCGCGCGGAGCCACCGAAGGTTTTCGCTCCACATCAGCTCTGTACCTATTTACAAGTTCGTGCGAGCGTACGAGGAAAATTTCTAGCAATTCCTGTGCGTAACCCTGGTGAATTCCGATTAAGCTTTGCACGACGAATGGAGCCTTTACATGTTAGCTATTATTTTCGTATAAATCACTGTAAACTAATTTTTCGCTTTAATTAAATTGTAGTGCCTTTTTATAAAGCTATAAAGAAGGGCTATCTGAGTTCGATATTGCACGGATTACACGTGACTGGCTACTAACTATTCTTTGTTTGGAGCGAAGAAACTTGGCCCCCCTTGACTACTAGATTAAATGAAAAGTTTTCTATTTAGCCTCATTTTGGTGAAGCTGTGGTGCTTTTCCGCTGGGGCAGGTGAAGTCGTCTTATTCTTTTACATTTTTTTTAATAAATGAAAATGTTGACTTTATCCAAAATAAATTAAAAAAAAAAAAACGGAAAAATCGGAAGAGTAAGGTTCGGTGAGCAGAGACACTTCTATTTTTAAGTATTAAATTCATGTTTCAAATTACTTATATTGATTATAACCTTTTTCAATCCTACAAATGCTTAGATTTGAAGTGTCCTGTTTTGGTATCGAATGGAGGAATAATTTCCTGTTTGCTAGCTGTACATGTTCCAATGGCACGAGATAAAAACGTTGTGCATTACCTTCGTATGATCCATGGAACCGTTAAGAAGTTATTACACATCATCCCCATTGCGGAAAAAATCTCAATTAATACAAAAACGGTTCATGTGATAAAATAAAACTCACAGTGTACAGATGGCAACATCAACGGGACTAGATAAATATGTAATGAATTTGGTTTGATTGCGATAAGATGTATTCTAATGTTTTTTAACAATTAGTCGTTTATGCTATAGGCGATGGTTTTATTTAGCAGCAAACTATAACCTTTTAATGTTTAAAAAAGCTAGTTGTAGTTTATAAATCACTTAGTAAGGGATTCGAATATAACATCTGATAATGTAAAGTTGATTTTATGTAAAAAATACCAATATATAAATATAATTGTATATTCAAATGGTTTGAAAGACTGTAGAAATTGAATTGGTAATTAAAGGTGAATTTATTTCGAAATGAAAAAAAGTATGTAAGCTTTAGCATTGTACAGATAAAAAAATAAAGATTAAAGCCGTCCAGCCTAGTCCATTCCGTCCTTACTCTAGTGTTCCACGAGCTTGATGTTTTTGTAGGGTATGGCTCAATTTAAAAGTAACAAGCGTAACTTTTATATACTTAAAATGAATAATAAAAGAATATCAATAATTTATAATGAATATTAATGTTTATAAAAAATATTATTATATAACAAGTGTATTATTGTATGATGGTTTATATTGGAGCAAAAGTTGTATTTGTATTATCTTTCGTGCCTCCAGTAATTCCACCAAGACCCTGTGGAGTGATCAATTAAGATTCAAGATAGCGACAGTAGGTACTTCGACAAAAAATAGAAACTGTATTTTTATCTGTACTTTTTAGATTTTTCTCCATTAGAGTAATTAATTATTAATGTATTATAATCAATGCCACGTATTATGTATATCTTCTTTTCTCTTCTTTACACTCATCAGCTGGGAACATTTACTTTATGAAGTAAATTTTCGTTTCCGCTGATATATTTTATACAGTGAAAATAATAATTGTAATCAAAAAGTTGGTTATAAGTGGTTTTTTTCTTGCAATACAGAAAGCAAGGAGCGGGGTATGTGATCATTTTTATATACCAACACCTAGGCTTTTATCAAAATGAACCTAGAATCATTTACCTATGTGTATGTGTAGTGTCATAACACTGGAGATGCAAATTCAGCCAAGTTCATACATAATACTACATAATACTTTTGAACATTGAGTCTTAGCTTTATAACGAAAATAATGATTATACCATTTAGATGAGTTGTTGTTAGCATGCTAAGTGGCATCAAAGAACATGGTTAGAATTGAGTAGTTATTCCTACATTTGCTTAAACATTTATGAAAGGTTACTCGCTGTAACATAAATAGGCGCATCGTCATTTGTGGAATATATAGGATATAAACTATGTTGTTGTTAAACGATGGAACTCATTAAAGTCATTTTATTCTGAAAATGATTTGATCCCTCGAGATTAAAAAAAAAATCAAATGCAATAAAATCATACGTGTGGGGGAAAATGAAAAAGGAGGAATTTGCGGAATTAGGAAACATCATGAAATAGCCATATTATTAGTCAAATCAAGCTCACTATTTAAATTTTTATGTGAAAGAAGAATGAACACTTTCTATGCTGTCAAATAGGATAAATTTTTGGGGCAGATCGTATGTTAAATACGGATGTTAAGACTTAGTTAATTCAAGACTTTTAAAGGGAGATTACCTGTCACTAATACATTGAATTGCATGCATTTATCATTCCCCTAATAGCATTAATAGCGTTCACAAGCGATTGAGGCTTGAGTTATTTTGTATTTCTTTTATCCTCGAAGTTTTCGGGGGACGAAAAAATATTGTTACTCTAAATAAAATAATCTCAATGTATCCTTTCCTGACACACACCGCCACCGCTGTTGCATTCCCTTCAACCGCAAACAGTATAAAAAGCCTTGTTTTGCTGCTTATTGATTTAGCGCATCCTTTGTTTTTCTAAGCGCTAACCCGACATGAGAGCGGTTTCCTCCTTTCGATCGTATTTGCACCAGAGTGCGGGGGCGGCCGAGCCCGAGGGTTCGGCCGGTGCGGGCGGAAATGAAAAATAAACACGTCCGGACGTCGCATGGCGCCGGCCGCGGAAAATGAAGGGCCGGCGTGACTCGCCAGCTACGCGGAGCTACGAAATGTCTACGAGTTTCGGAGGCGTTGCGTTGTATGGAATTGAACAAAAGCTTTATAAGGTAGTACGTGAAGATCGTTGTCATGTTCCGTTTTGTTAAGTGGCACGGCTTAATGGAAGAATAATAGAGGTCCACTAAATTATTTCTGTATTAAAATATTATTATAGTGTACATGTCTGTTTAATATAATAATATTATAGTGTACATGTCTGTTTTGTCAGTATGTGTCTGCTTTTTAAGATATAAGTTAAATTTTAGTTTTAAAAACTAGAGTTATTTAATTTAGCCGGATACATAATTATGTGGATTTTAATGTGATCATAAGGTACAAAAAAATCAGCAATTCGCATTATATTTCCTTCATGTTGTTGTATTGCCGTGATAGCTCAGCGTCTGGGCTTTTAATTAAGTATACTCGAGCAACCTGTGTTATTGATATCGTTATTGTCATTTAAGTGCTAACTTATCACGTGTTCGGTGGTGAAAGAAAACATCGTGAGGAAACTCGGATGTTTTCGAAATAATAACAAAATCAAATACCTGGAACATATGTGAAGTCCGTTAATCAACAGTGGGGTCGCCTAAAGTTCTGTACAGTGCAAGTCTTTACCCAGTAGTGGGACGAACACATATAGACTGTTATTTTACTTTACTTTGCTGTTATAATACTATGTCGATAACAGAATAATTTTGAAGAGATAATAAAAAGTTGTGTATATGTTTCTTATTAAATAATTATTATCATAACTATTTGTTCAAACTATATTTTATGCGTACATAAATAATATATAAACTATAAAGGGATTCTAACAAAAACGATCAAGTAATCCCTTTATAAACACGTTATTTACCTCAATTCTAGCTCGGTGTGGGTTCAAAGAGTCCAAAATTAATGTAACAGGACGGGGGAACGGGCTGTTTATTATCCGGCCGTTTAACGTTTTTACGCAGTCGTCTGTGTTGCCAACTTAATAATTACAGGTTTGAAATAAAGCGTAAGTCGATATACGAATAAGAATTATTCTTATTATTGAAATACTAGATATTGAATCTAGCAGTAGTGTGCATTAGCCTTACTCGGGATGATTTTATATGGTCATCATAAAATCTATTATATTTAATCTATAATCTATCTATTATTAATATAACATTTTTTGAGTAATTAAATTATTCAATGTAGTGCGAGAAACTTAAAACGCACTGCAATGTGTAGCAGTGTTATATCACTAAAATTTTGGTCAGCGAAGTTATTTCAACGTATGTAGAAAGAAGTTTCTTCATAATGAATGAATGAATGTCTTTATTGCCAGAATATGGTAGTACATTGTGATCTTAAAATAATTGGGTGCAACATATTCAGCTAATTTCAGCATGCAATTGTCAATTTGATATAAAATTATTTACATTAAAATATTTAATCATAATCAATTATTCACATTAAAACATTTAACCATAATAAATTATCCCATTAAAATATTTAAATTATTATACGGATATTACATACCGATGTCAAATTATTAAATGTCAGTGGGTATTACATAAAAAATAGTCATTTATATTATAAATTATTTTATCTAAGAGCCATCTCGTTATTTTTGTCTTAAACGATGCAAGGGGCAACTGTTTAATTTCTACCGGTAATTTATTGTACAAAGTTATGGACATAAAGTAAGCATTCTTTTTATATATATATTTAGGTTGCATTTATGAACATATAGTTTTTCTGGTCGACGTAAGGATTTATAATTTAATTCAAAATATTTCGGTTACCTTTTCACCATAATGCACATCTCCTTAATATACATTGCGGGAAGAGGTAAAATGCCTAAACTTTTAAGCCGTGGTTTACAGCTGTCGAGAGGTATCGTTCCGCAAATGGCTCTAATACATTTTTTTTAAATATAAATGCTTTTGTTGCATACGCTGCGTTACCCCAAATTATTAATCCATATGATAACGCCGAAAAAACGTAATCATAATATGCGCTTAATGCTGCTTCTTTGGACATCGTTCGTCTAAGCCGACGCAATGCATATAAAAACTTATCTAATCTTATGCAAATCATATCGACATGAGCTTGCCAATTACAATGTTTGTCGTAAATTATTCCTACCTTACAGTATCAACTTCTTCTACTTTTTCATCATTATTTGTTATGATGATTGATTTTGTTTTGCTGTAATATGTTTTAAATTGTATTAGCTTAGGCTTATTTATATTAATTTTCAGATTATTTTTCTTTAGCCAGTCTATAACGTCAAATAATGAATTATTTATTTCGATTTCATATGTATCCTTATTTTTATTTTGTATCAAAATAGTAGTGTCATCAGCAAACAATATGCATGGGTGCTTTCTTGCATTCGGTAAATCATTAATATAAATTAAAAACAGAAGTGGCCCCAGTACACTACCTTGTGTAACTCCACATTTAACATACATATACTGAGTCTTTTTAATTTTAGTCGAGTTTAATATCTTTGTTATTTCGGTGCACTTATTCAAAGGATTGAAAGCATTCAATCCTTTGAATAACTTGTGATCCATTGTTGTGCATTCCCTCTTAATGGATAAGACTTGTAAAGTTATAGCATAATATGTGTATATTATTAATAGAAAATAATATACGGGATGGTTGGGTATAAATTAAATTTATCTATTCCTTCCTTAATACTTTGCTGTATTTATATTTATATTTATTTCATAACGTGAATCTGAAAATGAATTCCGTTGATGCGTATTTTGATAACTATCGAGTAGTACACTTATTTGCGTAAATAAATATAACAGACAATAGCCTTATATATTTTATTCGTGATAGATTGAAATAAATCATAATAACGACTGTTGATTATAAAAAGATGTTAATTAAATACAAATGGACCCTAATGTAACAATAACAGTTAAAGTTTTGATCAGTTTCGAGATCAGTTGCCTGATGGTGTCGTTCGTGCATTGATCGGTACAATTAATCGAACGGCCTTTATCAAAGCAATCCCCGTATACACGTCGAGGTTAATTAATTACTACAATTACTCGATTGATTAGGAACAGGGCTTGTTACTGATATTAAATTAATTCACGTGTCCCCATCGTACACAAGGATCGCAGAACGGAATCGTACTTTGACGGGCGCATATCAATCTTGCCTTTTGTCTTAGCACGTTCCGATTGTAATTTACGCCGTGTCTTACCTGTCGGTCTATTTATCGTTTCTGTTACAACTGTGAAATGTTTAACGTCCAACATTATTCTGTTGAACCTATAATAAACTGGTTGTTTCCGCAGTGATATCGTGCCGTCATTATTTCATATCAAAGAAGGAAATGTCATAATACCAGACTTTTTTGTTTGTAAGAATATCTTTTGACACCTTAAAGTTAAATTGTATGTAACGACAAATACATCAATCAAACACTGAACAATTATTATACCTGAAAAGCAAGAATTTATATTGAAGAATAAATGAGATCATGTTCCGTACACAATTAGGTAGCCCAATAAACAATTAAGGTATAAGTAGGTATTAGAACTATTCCTGGATACTAGGTTCCTAAAATTTCTTCATTTGATTCAGAGTAAATGTAAACGTGATGTGAACTTAAATTTTATAATGTGTATATCGATAGTCTTTCTTTTCCTTTTTTTTATCATAACTGTTCTTATCTCACTTATGCTAGCTAAAAACCTAGCTAATAATGAATATTTAATGAAGTATTTTAGGACACATTTTTACACAACATTCTCTAGTCCCAAACTAAGCAACGCTTGTACAATGGGTACTAGATAACTGATAAACATACTTAAACATACCATGCACAACATGCGAATCATGTTCATAAAGGTATTGATATTTGTTTTACGACTAACAGCCTGACGTCAATCTCGTCCTAGGAATCCTCATAGGAATCCTCTAAAGAGGAATCCTAAAGGAGATTTCCCAGATCCGGAAGACACACGACTCAAGACGCGGAAGTCAATGGCTTAGCAATTACACCACTGTCAGTCACTCAGTGGATCAAATAATTTTCTTCTTTCTTTCTCCTGCCCTTATCCAATACTAGGTGGGTTTGCCACAACATGTCCTTTCCTTCCACTCAGCCGTCACCTCAATACTACCCTTTCACAGACATAATTCTTCATACAGTCCATCCAAATCTTTCTTGGTCTTCCTCTAGCTTTACGCCCTCCAACCACATTAATATTCATCACTCTTCTAGTCACACGTCTTTCATTCCTTCTCATAATGTGCCCATATCATGTAAACCTACCACTTTTTATTTTCTTAGTCACTGGTGCCACTTTCAAGCTTTCTCTTGTATCAAAATAGGTCAAACAATGTTCCTATTAGCTGCTATATTTCCAATTTAGCTGATAAAATGTTAATCGTTGTAATGAAATTATGCCCCTGATCCTACTCTATCTATATTGTATATTTACTTGATTGATTTCATCCTAAATAAATGTGAGCGCAATTTCGCCAAAATTGATTAATTGAACTTTATTTTCGGTGTTAACTCATGTGTGCCCTAAAAATATATTGTAAAACTCCTACTTTTCCCGAGCTTGGGAGAGTCGGGTGATGTTTGCCTAAGGTGTGCACCGCTCGCAACTCTTTTAGTTTGTGTTTCCAGTAAGTTTGATTGGAACTCTCTTTATTCTAGCAAATTGGCTAAACTTTGCCAATTGCTTTTCTCTTGCGCCCTTACGTTTTTCTTATGTGTTTACTTTATATATATTTTTAAAGAGACAGTTTTGCTAAGTAATATATAAGTTATAGGTAATATCTAAGTTCCCGTAAGTTTAAGATTTTTAAGTCAATTAAATACTACTTAATTTATGTTTCATCGATTAGTAGCTAGTCTACTACTCGATGAAACAAATTAAGTTTAAAAATAATATCTTAGAAATAAAATAATAATGTTCTTTTAACGTTTCTAAAAA